ACTTTACTATATGTTCATTCACTGAATTAATGGACTCCTGGTTCTTTTATTAGCAGCTCTCTAACAATAGAAAGAGAGAAATGTTATAAAAAAGACTCTCAGACAACTGTCCACTCTTTTGTCCAGGGCTTATTGGAATGACGCAAGTCTATTCAGGAAAAGATTATAAAAATCAACTCAAAGCTGCCTCTGTTTGTGGCTGCTAAATATACCTTTATTTCATAAAGATACAACCTATAAAACAAGCAAATGAAAGCCCTCTCTGAAATAGTGGCTGTGAGGCAGCGACCACGGGGAAACGGGGCTGTAACTCCCCTAACGGGGGTTGTTCCCCATTCACCATCACGTGGGGTCGTGGGGCATCATCAGCCCCCAGCTCTGGGAAATCCTCAGCGAGGAGGAAAATTGTTTTAAAGCTCGGGAGGTTGATTCTTCAATGTATGGAAAGGTGAAGAAACACCGCTGAAATTCGGGGGCTTAAACCTTCACGAGCAGATTCGGAACCCCTCTCACGAGCCAGGGAAAATAAACATATCCCTAATCCAGGCTAACTGCAGAACTGCACGTGTGCTTTGTGCTGCAGAGCCAGGCCCTTTGCAGAGCCCGAGTTAAAATCTCGAATTGGATCTCTGGGGTGGACAGCAGCGCTGACAGCCCCAGCTCAGGCCCGAGGGGGTCTGGCCTGGCCAGTAATTGCTGCACAAAAGACAGTTAACAGTTCCCTTGCTCTTCCCTAACTACCTTCCTGACTGCTTATTGAAGTCTGATTTCTTACTCCTCTGGGTCATCATTCATCAGTCCTACAGATCCCGCCGGGAGAGCCCGGCCAGACCTTTCCACATCCCTCGTTGCCAGAGGCCATTTCTGACGGGCCCGTGATATAGAAAATGTCTTCACAGCGCTCCGGCGGGGCAAACCACGCTCATAATACCCAAATAATCATTTGGCAAATTATCATAATTATCAATCAATCATCTCGCGCGAACAATGTGTTCCCGAAGTATCAGATGGTTCCTGTGACCTGTAGCATTTTGGATATAATAACAAACCCGGGGAGATTTATGGCCCCATCCCCGTTTCGCATCTGCAGCGGCAAAACATTCACTGGCTTTTACTTTTGTTTCAGGACTAAAAGCTTTCCACGTACCTGAGGGTTGTTTTTTTTTTGTTTACTACTCGGTGCTCTCCGAGAGGTCGAAATTTCTCATCTCGCCCAGTTTTCTAAGGGTAACTTTATTTTTAAAAACATCCCTGTGATTTGCGAGCACGGAATAAATGTGCTGCATAAATTACTTTTACTTTACAGCCTCATCAGCCTCACGCTCCCAGCTTCCAGTATTTTGCAACGTCGGAATGAAGCCAGCCAAAGTAGGGGGGGGAAATTGGTTTTGTCTTCGTTTTTTGTTGTGTTTTGCACAATACCAGATTGAATCCAACCCTTTTGAAGCCGATAGCATCTCCCGCTCCCTGTGCAGCACATTCTTGTTAATGGATAAATTCAAGCTCTCCAGAAAGTCAAAGAATAAATTTAAAGCCTTTTGCCAAATGCCTATCCTATTGGATTTTGATAAGATGGCTATTGAGCTTTAATAATGTCTTCTATCCTTTTTCAGCTGGCCCTTAACATGTCTCTTTATTTGTCCCTAAAGCCTCTTCAGCAATGCCTTTTTATTACAAGTCTCTCAGCTTGCTCTCAAGGGAGACAGGGTCGACAAGAGTGATAGATAGATAACTCTATAGATTATCTCCCACAGATGTTTTCTCTCCAGTAGCCCCTCAGGCTATTCCCTCTAAGTAAACAGAAACTAAATAGAGAGTCTACTGAAGAGAGAAGTCCCTGAGGTCCCTTGTCACCACGGTCAGAAAAACAGCCTGTCCAGAGGAGCCTGGCTGGGAGCTCTGTGCTCACACAGATCCTTCCCCAGCCTTCTCCAACCCTCAGCCAAAGTGACTCTTAGAGGAGAGGCAAACACACCGACTGCAAAGATGGGCTGTGTGAGGGACACCGGCCTCGCTTCCTGCCAGGGGAACTCGGAATCTTTCAGCTCCAAGTTGAAGCCAAAGTGACAACGATGCTGAAAACAACGACAACGAGCTGCTGTTCCAATTTATTAAACACAGCAGAGAAGCTCAGAAAATTCAGAGCGAGAGAGCACAGGAGCTGCTCTCTAAGCAAAATAAACAGACTGCAGGGACATGGGTTGGGAAAAAGGCATTTGGGACCAGGGGACGATACACCCACAGGTATAACTCATGTTTTGGGCACAGCTCCGAGTGAATTTCCTATTTTCGTGTTGGTTTCACAACTGACTATTTAAAGTTAAACAATCAGGATGAGGAGCTCGCGTATATTTGTCCAAGTTGAACTAAATATCAGCAAGCACAGATGACACAAGGAGAGAACTCTTCAGGAGTACAGCACGTTTTAGTCCATGGCACAGCACAGATACAGAAAATGAACCTGGGTATGGGTCCTTTGATAATATTGAAATATTAATTCCTGCCAGACAACCACTAACAAAGAAATCAGCTTTGTGGTGTTAGTGGTCCCAGCAGAAATAACAGGAATACAAACTGAAAAATACCAGATATAGTGGGAAAATACTTTTTTTTTTTTTCTCCAAGCCAAAAATGAGCAATATAACAACCTCTGCTATGCTACATCTTCAGGCTTCTCACTGCCTTTCCGTTCATGAATAGTTATGTAAAAGAGCTTCCCCCCCACCACAGCAGCTTAACAGCAGAGATAATTCTGGATCAGTTTTTAAGCAGAGGTTCCTTCCTGCACATCCTCCTACCCCTCTCACTGCCATCACCTTCCCTTCTCTGCTGTTCCTGGGTTTACAGATTTTTTTCTCTGCATTCCAGATTTTCATTTTTTTTTCTAGTCCTTGTCAGTGCCCAATTCTGAACCTGTGATACAGCAAAGGAGCCACTGCAGTGATGGTCTCTGCAGTTCCAGTTTCCTCTGCTCCAGCTTAAATCAGCCCACCCACCACAGTCACATTTGTCTTCAGTCACCTTCTTGCCACCAACTTATCTCTGAAGGAACAGGAATAAATTGAAGTCAAATCTCAACTATTGTGTCTTCAGGGATATGACAGCTGAATGGCTTGGAGAGGCTGGGAGAGGGAATCTGCTCCCAGGAGGGTTTTGTACCCCCGGAGCCAAACGCCAGAGTGCTCCTTCCAAACAATCTAAAGATACCACAAAAAATGTCCAGAATGATTTCTCATTCTTTATTTTTCATTTTCTTCTGACTGAAAAGCTGTCTCACAGTAGTCTTTTCACAAGCCATAAAGTTTAGACTTGAACTCTTTACCTCACTGCTCTGACCTCCTTTACCCCAGCTGTAAAACCCTATTGCCCATCCTTCAATAAATTTATCACCTCATAAACCCACTAGTGCTTCTCTACAATGCATTTAAAAGACACAAGTGGAAGGCCAGTCCTTCCCCCCTTGTCAAATATCATAATTGTCCAGTTTTATATCTGTAGTACAGGAAAATATTTAGGGACATGGTATTTTACAAAGACCTGTAGTTTTTGCAACAGTCTCCCCTGAAATAAAAGGAATGAAGTTTAAATACAAACCCAAGGATTGAAGATATAAAGGTGCCAGTCTCCTGTTTCCTTCTACCCTGTTTCACACAACTCCTGCTCTATTTAGGGCACATTCTGGAGGTGGGGATGGAGAATTCATTTGTGATACTGGAATTAAAGGCTGCACAAGAGCCAGCGGAGCTTTCACTCCACCCTCGTGAGAAGTGCGTTTGATAATAAGAACCTGCCACCTTGTCACCACGTCTGTCCAGACAAAAGGATCCCACAGAGGCAGAGACAGACACCCTGTGAGTTATGGAGATGCCCAAGGTAAAAAGTTCAGCTCTGCTGCCACAGGTCCCTCCTGAGGTCACTGCGTGGTCAGAGGATGTTCCCCATCGGGAGCCCGGCTGGCGAAAATAAAACCTGCTTTTTTTGTACGTGGTAAGAATAGAACAGTCCACACTGGACATGCCTCTAAATACCTTTTCCCAACCTAACTTTGGAGCCTGACAAGTATTGCATTTCACTTTGTTTGCCAGAGTGAAACAGGAGTTTGCTTTTAGCTTCCCGAGTCAAGGAGCAGCAGCCACACTCCAGGACCAGCAGTGGCAGCTGTGCAAGTTCCAATCTCAAATATTTCCCACTTCCAAAAACTTTACAAGCAGGACTTTGAATATCCTTCATAGGACAACTGCATAGGAAAGGAACCACAAACAACTCCTTATTTAAATGAGGACACACCACCTCCAGCATCCAAGAGGCTCTAATCAAACACAACTTGTAACACTTTAATTAGCGAAGCCATTAACCAACAGATAGACATGGAAAAAAAAGATCTCATTTTAGTGCTTCTGAGAATAACTCCAAGCAGAATAGTAGCCTGGCTACCGAAATATGTCGTGCTGAGGCTGCCTCAGAGCTCCAGTGAAGACATTTATACAGCTGGGCTGACTGAGGAACATGTTTCCTCTGGTCACTGTTAGAGTTCAAGCACCACAATGTGATGAAAAGCACCAGTAACACATCACACGAGTTAAATTTTACCCTTTCACAAGTCTACTCCTTTTCCCTTGGACTTCACATAAGCCACATTTACACGCTGAAGTGACCTCCAAAAATTTAGCACTTTTAACAAAGGACCAACATTTTCTTTTACTGGAAAAGAGGTAAATGAGGTTTTTTGATTTGGACCAGCAGCTGTTTATATTGTAGCAGAGTCAAGGAACACCTCAAACTATTATTTTCTCTTTCATAATAACTGGAATCACAAAAAGACAGCAGAATATGCCAGTAGAACCACAACACTTAATCCAAAACAGCAACAGCAAATACTGGAAAACTTTTATGACATTACTGCGACAGACACACTTGGGGACAAACACGAGAAAAAAGGTCCAGGTCTATTTCAGAGCCAGGGAATAAAACAAGTCACATAAGATTGAGCCACATCCTACCTTTTTTATATTGCCCTCTTGGGAGGTCACCTCAGGATCAGTCAGTATTTGCTGGGGAAAAACAGAACAGAAACAAAAGAGAGTTGAGTCACAACTAAGAATGTTACAATAAGGATGATTGCTGTGGCTATGATGATGATGATTATAAGAATGATGAAGATAATAATAACAACATTACCAATTATATTTATTATCAATATATATCAATGTTATATACTATATATCGATACAATAGTTATATTATATATCAATATAATAGATGTATAAATTATCAATAATAATGCAATAACAACAACAACAACATCAACAACAATAAATTATTAATAGTATATTATAAAGAATAATGGCCAAAACTCCCAACTGCAGAAGAGTAACCCAGCCATTTTGGGAGCTGGATGGAGGGCTGATACCAGAACTATTATAGAATCGTGGAGCCAGAATGTGCTGAGGTGGAAGGGACCCGTCAGGATCAGTATTTGAAGGTTTTCTGTAGCTTCTCTAAATAATTCCCTTACATTTGGCTGGCACGTGTTCCTTCCCCAGCTGGCAGGGGTGTAGAACATGGGCACTAAGGGAATGGGGGCCCTGGAGCAGGAACAGCCCCCGGGATGCTCCGGCCCCCCCAGCGCTCCCGGCGGCTGCAGAGGGAGCTCCTTAATTCCCCCTCCAGCAGAGGTGTGGGGGAACAAGTCATTAAATCGCTGCTGTGCTCCACCTCAGATTAGCTCCAGGTCAGCAGGCTTTCGGGGAGGTCAAGTACCTCAACTTTCCATCCCCCTGGATACCCCGGCAGGGTAAACACGCCGGGAAGGGACCGGAGAGGGCAGACGGGGATTGGAGCAGCTCCCGGGGCTCAGGGGCTGGGAAGGCCGAGGTTAAACACAGCAAGGAAAGGAGAAAGGAGCAAGGGAAGGGAAGGGAAAGGAAGGGAAAGGGGGAGGAGAATGGGAAGGGACCAGAGAGAAAAGGAAAGGAAGAAGCCCAAACCATTCCATGCTTTCCACCAGCCCTGCAGACACTGAAACTGCGGCTTCAAAAGTAGCTGAGAGCAAATGGGATCAAGAGGTGAATCCCAGAGCCATAAAAACCCGTGTGTTCCTGTCCCTGTGCTCATCCACACACTGACAACTCCCTGGGAATTACTGAAGTGAACTATCCATCCTGAACTATCCATCCTGCCAGCCAGGAGTGTCCCTACCTGCCCGGGAATGCTGGCTGCTCCCGGGCTCTCCCCAGGAACCAGCAACCCCAAAACCTTTGGAGAATTAGGCCATGAAGCTTCCAGAGATGAAATACAGATGCTAAATGACTGGAAAGCCTCGGTAGGAGGCTACTGCCTCCAAATGAAGACACTTAAGTGCAATTATTATCTGCTAAACCCCTTTAAATAACAATTGGTTACATCTGTGCGTTCAGATGCTTAATCCACCCGTTCAATGTGACCATAAACGTGGAGGAGAAAGAAAACTCAAATGAAGTGCAAATTGGGCTGTGGTAGAGTCCTGTATAAACAGGCTTAAGAGTCAGGAATTCCTGAGTCGGGATCTGGATGCCAACACAAGCTTCCTTTTGTTGGTTTGGACAGAGCTGTGCTCAAGGGGCAAGTTCTGGTCCTCAAAGTGTATTTTTTTTTTTTTCCTTTTCCTTTGAATTCGTAGCAGATCCCAAATTTCAAAATTCTAAGAGAACAGAATTCCTGTGAAAATTATTTCATGCCTATTCAAAAACAGTAATTGTGCAGAAACCCTCAGTGGTGCTGATCCCACTGCTCATCTGGAATACCCAAAAATGGCTGATTTTTGAATTTTCTTCTATTATAGAACTTCTGGGGAAACAAACTCTGATTTCATGAAGAATTTCAGCTTCAATGGAAGCCTCTCCACACTCAAACTCTCAGAACATGGACATTTAATGGGGATCATGGTGCTTGTGCTGAACTGGGTATTAAAGGCCTTTTCCAACCTTAAGGATTCCATGATTCTGAGTGTGAAAAAGCCTTTTAACAGTGGTGGGAGACTAAGAACTGGGTTTAGATTATCTTTTCTGTCCTTCCTTTACACCCGATTTAAAAAAAGATGTCCAAAACGAAACAGTGTGGGACTGAGCTCTGCCACAGACCATCTGCCCTGGCTGGGCCATGGCCCACAGTCTGAATGTCCTCAGTGTCCCACTTCCCCAGCCAGCAGAGCAGGCTGACAGTTTGACACAGGGATGGTGTTGGGATTGGTGGGGTGTTTGGGTGTGTGTAGGGGCAGAGGCCAGAACCCCAAACCTGCTGCTGCCCAACAGCTGCCAGGGCTCTGACCGAGCCCCCAGAAACCTTCCTGGGGGGTGGAGGAAACCTCAGAATTCTTCTTCTGCGTTCCCAGTGTGGAATAAACAGCGTGTGACAACACCAGTGTGGTCAGAGAGCAGCTCAGGAGTCACACAGGTACCCTGGCACACCCTGGGAGATCCCTCTCCACGCACAAGGAGAAGGGGGTGATGCAATGTGGGATGGACATGGCACCTCCTCACTGAAGGGGAAAGGGAGATGGAGGGAAAGTGAGTACCAGATGTGATGTTTATTAATAAGAATAACAAAAGATACTTTGAAAATCTACTCACTGGGTAATTTTAGCTCAGGCTGGACTTTGTCTTGTGCGAATGCCGTGAGACTAAATATAGTGCTGGACGTGTGCTGGGGGCTGCACTCCTGCACTTCACACAGATGTTCCTAAATGTACTCAGACTTTACACCACAGGCTTTTTCTATCAACTGATATGTTGATTTTAGCCAAGGGAAAGACAAGATGTCAGCAGCAGCCACGTCAGAGCAGCCTGTGCTGTGGGACTGGGCTGGAGGTGGATCTGCCCCGGCGATGGATTTCACCTCCTTCCCTTTCCTGGATCCAGGGAACTGGTGGCAGCACAATCCTGCCTCAGTTACGTCAGTTGGGGATGTGCTGTAATTTTTGCAAAGCCCCCTGAATGTATACTAAACATGTCAAGTAACACCATGTGATTCTTTTTGAAAAACAGTTTACAAGCTGGCATTCTGCAGCTGCAGTTAACCCTAATTTGATTACATTACCGAGACAGATCACAATGAGCTTATGTAAATAGTAACGTTATCCATTCATTCCCTGAGCTCAGATAAACTGTCATTTCAGAAAAAAAAAACCCAACCAAAACTTCAATAGGCATGGCCTGATGCATTCAGCAAACCCCGAAGGCAAAGAAGATGACAGAGTGGAACCAGCCCCTGCTGCACCTCTGAGAATCTTGATTTTAAAGAGGTGTTTACACTTCTGCTCCAAGTTGGAAAGAGAAGAGAATGCCCAGCAATTGCACAGAGGTCAGTAGGCAGGTAATAGCACTTTTCCCAATAACTTGGTCTTCATTTTCATGTTAATTTTTAGTAAGCGCTCAGTACAACACCAATGGCGTCAGTAAGACAAAGTTAAATGAGCATTTCAGTGCTTCAACCAGTGCCTGGGCACCTGCCCTTGACATTCACCCTTCCCAAGCCATCCTGCCCAGCTCAGCACTATGGGGACATCACTGCCAGCTCTGCAACATGGGCTGTGCCACCTGCACTGTCTCAAACCTGCCTCTTCTTCAGGGAACACCACGCAGCTGGTTCATGGAAAGAGCTGCCTTGAAAACACTCACTTCGCCTTAAATTAGCTGAGGGGCTCTGATTCCTACTTGCACACAAGTTCACATTAATATTTCAGATGAAATCACAGGCTGTGACCCTTCTGTGCCTAATTTGTGCTGTTAATAGTTGAGTTAATGGCAGAGTGACTCTGCCTGGCTGCAGTGCAGTGACCACACCAGTCCCTTGGAGCACTGGAGAGCAACGCCACGTGCAGAGCAAACAGCTCCTCCCAGCCAGCTTGGTGTGGCTCTAAAAAACATCTCAGGTCATAGAATCATAAAATCACAGACTATCCTGAGCTGGAAGGGACCCACAAAGATCATCAGAGTGCAGAACTCCTGGCCCTGCACAGGGCAGCACCAAGAACCCCACCCTGTGCCTGAGAGCCTTGTCCAGACACTCCTCGAGCTCTGGCACTTTGTGCTGCTGAGCACCAGCCTGAGCAGCAGAGCAATCCTGCAGCTGACAGTGTCCATCCCAGCCCTGACCAGGCTGTGGTCTCTGAGCAGGTAAAACCATTTGGACACAACTGTGGATCTGCACAGAGGCACCTCTCCTGTCCAGCACAGGGAGCAGCTCGGATGTTCACACCTTTCCCTGCACCTCTCTTCCACTCCAGCTCGGAAGACAACACTGCTAGTAAGCCACAAATCTTGTTCTTCCTAATTTCCATTAATTATTCCCTTAAAAGTTTTATCCTGCCCACTCCTGAGCACGCTGGCCCCAGCTCAGTCAGGTATTTGGGCGAGCAGTATCAGTGAAATGAGCTGAAACACAAATGTCTCCATCCATAAGTGCTCTCCTGGGCAGGAGCACAAAGCACCCTGTGGGACTCATCTCTCCAGCACAGAGCACCAAAACCTGTGGCAGGTATTCCATGGGGATCCCCCTTCAGTCTGAGTGCTCTGGGCTGCAGCTCCAGGGTGTCCCTGGGAATGTCTGTGCTCAGGACACTCCTCAGAGACAGGGCTGGGATGGGGGGGACTGCTGGGAAAACTTAATCTGAGTTACAGCTGTCTGCTGGGACAGGAGGGCTTGGCTCTGACACACACAGAGATCCTTTATAACTCCAAATATACTATCACAGAACCACAAAATGGGTTGAGTTGGGAGGGACCTCAGAGATCTTGTTCCAAGGACACCTCCCACTATCCCAGGCTGCTCCAAGCCCTGTCCAGCCTGGCCTTGGACACTTCCAGGGATCCAGGGGCAGCCACAGCTTCTCTGGGCAACCTGTGCCAGGGCCTCCCCACCCTCCCAGGGAAGGATTCCTTCCCAGTGTCCCATCTGGCAGTTTGAAGCCATTCCCCCTTGTCCTGTCCCTCCAGGCCCTTGTAAATAGTCCCTCTCTCCATCTTTCTCCTCAGCTCCCTTCAGGGACTGGAAGGCCCCAATTAGGTCACCCCAA